TCACAGAGATACTAACGAAATATTTACAAATTTTCTGCACCTTAAAATTCCCAACATTTCTATCCACAAATTCCTCGTCACAAACATTCCAACTATAACTCCCCCCCAAAAATAAAAAAAATAAAACAAGTTCCATTGCAGAGGAAAAATGAAAAAACTTCTGTCCAACATCTGTCGCGAACGAAACAGGCATTTTCTCGGCTTACCAGGTGTCTCGACTTTCGGAGCACGTTCCATCTCTTCGTCCTCGTTGATCTTCATGCCTAACGTCAGCTTTTTCGACTTAAAGAAGTTCGAGAGAAACGCTGCGCCCTTGCGCTTTACACGATCGTATCGTTGAGCGTTCTCCGACGACACGTGTATCATAATTCACCTAAAATCAACAGAGAAAAAAAAAAGAAACCAACTCGTTAACCCCGTTTACAATTCTCGTCTAAACAAAACAAGTATCACGCAAATTCTCCGCATTCGTCGAAAAAAAAAAATTCGAATAGATTCAAGCACACGAATTTCAACGATTAAACAGCAATCAGACTTATATCCTGAATAATTCGCCCCGATATCCTCCACACGTGCCATTTCCTTCTGTCTTCGCTTCATTTCCACCTTATCTAAACTCATCAAACCCGTCCACTCTTGCTGCTGTCAACGACCGTGTTCTAACAACGCGAACGTGTCGTATCTCAAAGAGAAACACCGAGAGAAAAAATACAAAACGTCTATCGATAAAAATTCGACATTTACAAAAATTACAAATTTCATTGAAAAATATTCCCAGTCACTCTTCGTTCTCTTTAAACACCTAAACCAAAAAAAAAAAACGTTCATACAACAGAGAGAGAGAGAGAGAGAGATTCAAACAAATTTTCTCGCCGGTTCACGAAAATTCTCAGCTCCACAGTGCTCTCCAATCGTTCCTCATTCTTTCGAATGAAATTCTCACGATGCCGAAGAAGGTGTATAGTAACAATTACTATGTTTCTCGGGATGAAGTAACGAGGAACAAGTGTGTATATTTTTTTCGAATAATTCCAGCCGGAAGAAAGAACATCGAAGCGTTCACGATCCACGGCGATCGCATTGCCAACTGCAGCTGCAGGAGGGTGTGCTCCGCGGCTCCTCGTAGGATTTTGCGCAGCTGCAAGTGGCTCTGGAAGAGAAACAGAGCGCGCGCGTGTGCGTGTGTGTGTGATAGGGGTGAGAGCGTGCGTGGTGCGACGGAATAAGAAGGAACGATAAAAAACACCGAGGGACAGTAGCACGGCGAGGCCACCGCGAAGTGTTATAAAAGTGGCGCGAGTGAGGCCTCTCCCGAGGCTCCTTTTCCTTCCCTTTCGATCTGGCTGCTTCGTGACCCACATATCTTCCGCTTCCTGCACACGCGGTTCGTTCCTCGACTAGGCGAAGGCATTTTCCCTCTCGAGCTCGAGAAATTCTATGTTGTTTCTTGGTACCACCGAGTGGTTGCTATGATTGGTGTGTTCGAATGGCTGATTGGATGTTTGGATTGTGTGTGTTGATGTAGGAGGAACAAGGTTTAATAGTTTGTCAGTTGGATTAACGTTTCAGGATGATTTTTTAAATATTGTAATAGGAGGGGTTGGTTCAATGTTGAGCATGTTTATGAAGTTGGTTGTATGTGTTGAAATAGGAGGAACAAGGTTTTATGTTAATTATATTCATGTTTCAGGATAATTTTTTTGTTATTGTGGTGGAATGAGAGGGTTGGTTGAATGTTGGAGATGTTTATGGGGTTGGTTAGAGGAACAAGGTTTTATGTTAATTATATTCATGTTTCAGGATAATTTTTTTGTTATTGTGGTGGAATGAGAGGGTTGGTTGAATGTTGGAGATGTTTATGGGGTTGGTTAGAGGAACAAGCTTTTATGTTAATTGTATTAATGTTTCAGGATATCTTTTTAATCTAATTCAAATACTTTTTTTATTGTAGGAAGCTTAGATGTTGGAAATGTCTGTGGAGTTGATTAGAGGGTAGACTTAATTGTATGTGTTGATAGTAGAAAAAAGGTCAGATTAATGTGTATAGATTTAGAAGAATGAAATATGTGTGTTGGAAATTTTGGTGAAACTACCCAGGTATATGTTTTATCAGAACACAAAGGTCATATTAATATTCTATTACAGTAGAAGAGAGTGGTTAAAGTAATGTTCAAGAGGGTTCATTAAAAGTTTCAACCTGTGTTCTATATTCTGAAGTAAAAAAGTTGTACTGACAACAGATTGTAGGAGAAGGGGTGCTTGTTACATATGGAAGAATTATATAGGGTGTATCAAAAAGGTTGACCAAAAGTCTAGATACATGTTCCATCAGGAACAAAGGTCACATTAATAATATATCATATTGCAGGATAGTTGGATACTTGTTAAGGTGGTATGTAAATCTACCAGAAGTGTATATAGGTATACCTAGTGTATAAAAAGGTCATATTCATGGGTCATGTTGGTATCAGGTTATAGCAGAGAGGGTGATTGGTCACATATGGTACTGAGAAGGTTGGACAAAAGGTCCTGATACATGTTTTAAGGTAGAAGAGGTCAGACTGATATGTCATATCAACATTGTATTATACTAAAAAAAAAGGGTAGTTGATTGAAGGTTGTAAGAGAGTATGTCAAAAGGGTTGGTCAAAAGTTCCTATGTGTACTGAAGCAAGAAAGTCGCATTTTCGGGTCATATTGACATTATACCACCCCTGGTAAAATGTTTTTGATCAAACACGCTAAAAGGCACTAACCAAAGAGAATAACATATTTAAGGTACAAAATACTATTTCATAAAAAATTAAATTTATTATTCTCTATCACATAATTCCTTTCGGTTACTTTCTTTTTTACTGCAAAAATTCAGGGTTTGAATTTCTGCTTATGATCAGTTTAAAATCTTTTAAGATCAATCCTTATGAAGGATTTTTTCTTTTTTCGACACATAGAAATCCTACTTGAAGTTCTGTCTGAACCTTCTGAAGCATCCTGTATAAACTGTCGACAGAAATTTGGAATATTAAAAGGTGAACTTGCAAGCAGTGCACGAAATCGACAGGACGAATATGAAAATATGAACCAGTATCTCCAACTCCACCTACAAAAAACCCTAAGAAAAAGATTGCGCCCCTTGATAGAACCTCCCAAAAATTCTCCAAAATGACCACCTGAATGCAACAATCGCAGCCTCTCTCAGGAACACAACCCTCAAACTAGAACCATCTCGTAAAGAAGGAAATCCTAGCGGAATAACGATCAAGTAGAGCACACCTACAGCCCCCATACCGATGCTTACAGTAGAGAAAAAAAAAAAGTCTGACTGCGAGATCAAACACACGGTGCATACACTGTACACAATAAAGCTAGCGAAACCTCGAAGCGAGCACACTTGCCACTAGTAGCTCATCACCTTTCTGACCTACATTCCCCAGCCAATCCCCGGCTGCACCATCGTCAAACACGGAACAGACTTCCATCAGCCTAAACCAACCGCTTGAACCAGCCTCCAGCGACACCCATGCTCCCCCCACGGAACTGTACACCACCCATGCATTCACCCTTCACAGTCATCGTCCTCCTCCACCACCTCCTTCCTCTATGTTCGATCAAACGTTTTCTAGTACAAGTTCCGAAGCTCGTAGACACGCGACTCTCGCGAGAGGAATCGTGTGTCCACGAGGTTTCCAGCAGACACGAGAGTGTAACGGTCGGGTGTTTTTCCAGAGAGAGAGAGCGACAGAGAGAAAGAAAGAGAGAGAAGCATCATACACGCTTGGTTGTTGGCAACGGATCGATCGTATACTCCTCCGCCCACGGGACGCTTGAATCCAGGGACGAACGCGTGGCACGTCACTGTTCTAACGCCCCCCACCACTCGCCTCTCTCGGTGAAACGACACCATTGGTCCGTTGTACTTACTTCCCGGCGATCCTTGCTCATCTTCCCGGCGAACCCCGACCGTACGCGCTGTCCACAGCCGGTGAACGAGCACTGGGTCGCGTCCGCGTCGTGACTACCGCGTCCCGGCGCCCGGCGCCGTTGCGCCCCTCAAGAGCAGCGCGAGTGGCGACGTCGCCCCCGGACACGCGCACTTTCGCGGCTAACCCCTTTCTTCCGCGTGACCCTTCTCTAGGGTGCTTTCTTTTCTTTTTTTCTACCTGTTTCTTTTTCTTTTCTTTCGTTTTTTTGTTGTGTTTTCGAGAGAGTGTCTTCGAACTCTCTTTTTGGTACTCTGTAGGGGTTATGATGGTTGGTTGGTTGGTGGGACTGGATGGTTAAGGTCCTTAGTGGCGCACTCCTGGTGGCGCTTGAGGAGCCACTTTTTCCACGCTCGATCTGGGGGTAAATTAGATTGCTGGGTGAATTGGGCGGGTACAGATGGAAACCTTGGTCTACTGCGTGTTTATGGAGTAAAGTTTTTGTTGTTTGTAATGTACGAGGTTTGATGAAGTAAATGCAACTAATGTATCGTAAGTGAAGAGAGGAATTGACGACTGAATCACTGGTAATTTTACTGGAGTTGAGTTTGTATCGAGAAGTCATTTATTTCGGGATTTTTGAAATGTTTTGTTTTGCAATGTTTGGTGATTTTTGGATTATTTTGTATTTTAGATTTTGGTTACTTTGAGGAGTACTGAGCGCTTTAGAAGTTTGACGCATTTTTTGTGGTCGCTGGGTATCTATGAATGACATTTGATTCCAAATTGTATTAAATATTAAATAAGTTCTGCAATAGCTACTGAAGGTGACTTGAATTCTATATTTACCACTGTATCATAAAAAAGAATTATATCTTTGTAATAAAACAAATGAAATGGTAAAATTTGTATTCATGCACGTGTATACGTTCTAATAAAACTAAAAATGTATGTTCGTTAAAAGTTATGTTATTAAAATTCTAATTCTAAAAAACCTTAATATTTGAGATCAACTACAATTTAAATTTTCTTCTTTTATCACTTTCTGAATATAAATGATCGAAAAATTTCACGTTCTTTCGAACGTGATTGTAATTGATATTACATTATCATTGATTTTCTGCGATATGATTGGTGAAGGGCGCACTCTTGAAATTTGAGTGGTCTTGAAATGCTCCCCCCTCTCCTTTGTTATTTGCACTACTATGATATTCATCTACAGTAAGCGTAAATACGACATACAACGTGTAAAAGAAACGTTTCAGGGGGTAATTCATTTAAAGTATAAATTATTTTAGATACTTGGCGATTCATTTTTAATTGTTGTATCCGAGATTATTGTTTTATAAGTATTATTTCGACGCGATCCTCAAGAGCAGTTCTGAAAGTAATTTCAAATGGCAGTTTCTCCAGATTAGTTCAGCGTGTAATTTGCTTTGCGTGAATAGTACGAAACGTATGCGCATAAATTGAATAAATTACCGTAGTGCACAGTTAACATGATTCGAATACTAACATGCCTACAAATCAGCATACTTTTTCCCAGAAATTAGAAGAAAATTATGATATACGACAATTATACGCGTTAAATTAATTTTATTTAACACACTCCAAATTATTTGAATTTAATAATTCAATTATTTCGCTGGGCATGCTATTTTTAGGTTACAAATTATCTGATTACGATGTAGAACTATCAGCAAGTTGCATCGTTTCGAAAAGTTGCTCGGGAAATACCCAACACGCATTAATTATCTGCAAAATGATTTTGAGAAATTGATTTTAATACGAGATTAAATGCAGAATCGTTGATTGAAAATCTCGTTAATCGGAAAGAATTATTTCTTATCCTCTCGTAGGAATTAATTTGTCACGCAATTACTTCAACGTAATTTATATCTACGCATCGAACGATTTCTTCATAAAACACTTACTGTTCAATAATTTCATTTAACAATTCCCAAATTAACCTTCTTAAAAGATGTGTAACAAACAAAGAACTATCGTTATCAACGAAAGTAATGAGAAAAAAAGGAAATCTCCAGCAATAAAACGACACAAGTAATGACAGGTCTAACGACAGCAATATACGAGCATTCGCAATCGAACATCGATAGATATTAACGATAACTTACTTCACAAATATCTTCAGATTTCTCTCAAAGCGATGTTCGAAGTTTCTTCCACTGGCTTCAATCATTGTGATAAAAACACCTCTCCAAGTTCACAGAAATAAAATCTTTCACACAAAACTATACTACGGATACAAATATATCCAAATTCTTGAATAGAAAACTTCACGTATACACTATAACCTTACACGTCGATACTTTATAACCTACAAATCAAGAAGAACGTGTTCGGCGTTTCTCTCGTCTGTTTATAACCGTCATTTAATCGTCGATCTCACATCTTGCCGTCAGACCGTTCACAATGCCACTGATTGTGAAACCTGTCGCGGAAGCGCGTGTACCTTGTACGTGCAGCGATAAGAAATCATCGCAGAAGCGAAAGATCAAAACCTGCGCGTACGTTAACCATCGATTGCGTTTTTACGGTCCGATCACAGCGTGCACGTGCTCGTCCTGCCAATATTTGGCATTCGCGTTCGTCGAAAATCGTGTAACACAGCGATATATTCTTCGAATCGTGTGCAAGTCTCATTTTCGACGTGAACGGCTGCCATTTTATCTGGTCACGAATTTTGGAGGGAAACACGTTCATTGTTCGTGAGGAAAATGTAATGTTGATTGTAGATCCAGGGTACAAGTGACAAAATGTTTCTTTTGTTGTGTTTTCTTAAATTCTTGTAGTCGAATTTTTCTTTGTTAGTGGGAAAAGAAGATTGTGCTTGTTTGAAGATTCTCACTTAGACGTTATGTGGTTACATGGATATGTACCTTTCTAATGACCTGGTATTAAAGTGTTTTTATGATACGTATTATTTGAATAACTTTTTTTATCTTTTGCTGTTACATGTCAAGTTGGACGTGATGTTAAATTACGAAGTATTCATGAAAGTAAATCACTGAATGCCTTAAATTACGTATGATTATATTGTGCTTTAGATCATAATGGGTTAATATCTGTATAGATTAGGTTATTTTGAACCACATAGACGTTAATTGTTGAATATTTAATGTTTTTTGAGACGATTCTATTCCATAATACCCTTTTATTTATTTTCAATATAAGTTGAAAGACAAGACGATATGTTTATTTTTAGTTATTGATAAAATATTATTTTATAAATTGAAATTACCATCTATCTACGATATGGTGAGATAAAATACGAAAATAAAGTATTATTGATGATATAAAAGAAAAGCTGGTAGATTTGTTCGAACAATTGGTAATCCCTTAAATTTCTTAAATATATCGATGGTTTATAGGATTAATTTTTGTTGTAAATAGACGTATGCTCGGGCATGTTACACATTTATCCAGCAAAGCTCTGAATTGTTGTGTAATCCTTTAATAGGAATGGAAGCTGACACGAATACCGGCGGTATTTACTGCGATTATGCGTGTCACTGTGTGCACAAATTTCTATGTACATAATGTACATAATGTACATAAACTGTCCCATGTTGCTTGGCATTTAACGACAAATGCATCTAACGTTCAAGACAAATTCTAGTCAAGCTAATAATAATTGGTTATAACGCTATAAATTCTCAACATTAATCATCAATTATCAAATTATTTGCAAGCGATTTATAATTAAACTACAGTCCTCTTTAGCAAAAAAATTCTTAAGAATATACATACATTATACCTACGAATATCGTTGCTCCAGCGGTAAAGTTGCAAAACTACAAAAACTTAATTTCTCAATAGAGAAGAAAACTACTTTGCCAATTAATGTGAAATTACCTTTGCATACATCTTATCCATCAACTATGCAATTTATATTTATTCGGTTTTCTAGTTCGTCGATAAAATCAGTGTAAAAGTGGTTTCACATTAATTAGCAAAGTGGATCCCTTTTCTATTGAAAAGTTAAGTTTTTACCGTTTCACAACTTTTTCATTGAAACGACGACAGTTTAATCTCTCTACTTCAGATTATAACGTCTATAAAATTCTAAGTTAATATTTCTTTCATT